AAAATAAAAACACATTTTATTGATTATGCTAAAAAAAATAAATAAAAAATAAAAAGAGAGCCAAACAAATTTCCTAATCTTTTAATGGGTGCCTATGGCTTTCACACTCTTTTCACGATAGCGTTTTTGTTTCTGCTCTCAGATGGCTGATAGAAAATTAAAATCTCCATGTGATGAAGAAATTTCTTTAGGCATTAAAAATCTCTAAGTATTTTTATCAGACACAAGACTGTATTACTAGCAAATGGTTTGGAGACAAAAATAATCGTCATTTAACAAGACTTCCCTTGCACTTAAAAGGCATTGCTGTTTTGTTAAAAGTTTTACTTTACAATATTGACTCATGTTATTTCTAGTAAATGATTCTTTTGTCATAGCAACCTCTTCTCCCTCGGGGAGGAAAGCGTTTTATTTGTTGCCATCCAAAACCATGGCCCTACACCCACTCAGAAGAGAGCATAACATTTACAACAAAAATGTCACAACAACTATTATGAAACAATAGGCAGATGAATCATGTGGAACCGGAGCAAAACAGCGACGTTTCAGCTGACTTGAGAGTACTTAACCTTATTATTAGAATCCTTTTTAAAAGTTGTTCCTCTCTGCTGGAAAAAATTATTTAAAAAATAGCACAGTGGAGCCAGCCACTAATGTTCAACTAGAAATAAACCAGCTGCTTGGCTACTGTTAAAATAGCTATCAAATAAATCTAGGAATCTGAAAGAATGGTGTTGATATTCATGGAAACACATTTGAACCCACAAGCCCACAGTATTAACAATAAAATAACCAGATAGGTAAAGACATCTCTGACTGCAGTTGGAAGGAGAAACTCCTTAGGTTTCAGCTCCGTGACCATGTTTGCAAATGAGTAAAGGAAGTAGCTCCAACAGTCTGAGTTTGGGACCGAGCATATGTGAGAAATAGAAGAAATGGAACAGAAGTGGTCAGAGCAGATGGGGACTCATTCTCACATGACATTTGCTGGCTGGAAGACAAACATGCTAATGAGCTTTCCCTAATAGGAGTCAGTACTGATAACTACAACAACAAAAAAATGAACTTGCTTCACACTTCTAATTTACCACCTGTCTTACAACCACTGATTCCTCCCAAGAAGGCCTGCTGGGGTAGGCATTACCACCTTCCACCAGATCTCAGGTTCAAGGCAAGTTTAAGGACTTAGCCAATGACAACAAAGTGGTTGGTTCTGGTGCCTCCCGGGAAGCCTTCTGAACAGAAGACCCATATATTTGAATTCACTGTGTTGTTTCCTTATTCTGGACTTATGAGTAAATTCTCCTCCTACTCTTGGCTTCACCTTTATCAGAACTATGCAGGCCATGTGAATTACAAGACAGAAAATTTTCTTTCTGCCTAAGCTTCAAGAGCAGCCTGATATACAGACTTACTGCTCTATTTCCTGAAGGCAGAACCCCATTCATGTCCATGGGCTCTGAAAGAATTAGGTGACCAGCTTTTCTGCTCATAGGTCACAGAATAAAGAATTCATTCCAATGAGCCCCATTCTACTATTTTAAAATGAAACCTCACCCATGGTGCTTAAGCAAAGATGGTAGAATAAGTCTCTTTCGTAAATGGCAAAGTGTGCAACTAACTCAGGTTTTGAAAGTGTAGTGTAGGATGTAAATTTTTCATACCTGCCAACTAGTTGTTCCTATGAAATTACATGTTATTACTCATCTGAGATGTCTTTTAAAATCATAGCAAATTCAAAATGATTGTTAAGCCAGAACCGACTGAAAGTATTTTTTCATCTTTTCTCTAGGTTAAGTAGCGGCATTGAGTGTTGCTGAGCTAGGATGTTATTTGCTGGGAGTTTTGGTCTGACTCGTGCTGTCTCCTCGGCCCTCCAGTGTGAATTACACTGCAGACCTCTCTGCAAACGCAAGGCAGCAGAAAACCACATGTTAGCCATCAGGGTTGGATTTTTTGTTCTGGGCCACGGAGAGGCTACCCATCAGTGCATAAAGGTCTGCCCACCTGGCCTTTGGGTTCATAGTTCAGGCACACAATTAATTCATTATGAGGTCACTGCTTGCTTTTGAACTAGTCTTTCCAGCTTTGGAGGCGAATGTCCTGTCACTGACCTGGAGAAATAAATACCTCTACCCTTTCAAACTTCATTAAATCACATTTCCTTCTGGTTTTTTGGTTTTGTTTTGTTTTGTATTATTTTGTTTTGTTTTGTTTTTAATGGTGGGAGTAAAAGGAAAGTTTGTGGTTACAGAATATGTTCAACCATGAGCTGAAAATCTTGGACATCCAAACAATTATTTGTGACAGCAAACCTTTGAGGAATATAAACCAGACTGAATAACATAAGCAAATTCCTTTCATTTATATTCTCTACTGTATAAATTTTGAAATTTAAAGATCAGATCTTTAAAGTTACAACCTGGGTCACTGATTTTAATTTAACAGGTCATGAAAAGCTTGAAGTGAAGAGAAAAATCTCACCTTTCTCATTTATTTCCAATTGCATGAGTATATAATATTGCTTGGTTCTTCCTTTATCTGTACTAAGTACTATACACACATGTGAGTGTGCTTATAATGAAGGAACGTATCTTCTTCTTTGGTAACCAGCCCTGTCGCTAACTCCCCTTCCTCGCCCAACCATGCTAAATTTTGTGTTCCTCACTCCCTTGACTTTTAAAAATACACTTTTACTACATATGGTTTCCAGATCAAATAGTGTACTGCTCTTTCTGAACCTATCAAGTACCATCATGCTGGAAAGTGGCCTTCTGCACCTCTCCACGCTAACAATGAATTTCCAAAACTCATGCATGCTGTCGAACGTAGTTTAGTGTGTTGTTTTCATTTTCCAATGGGACAAAATTCACCCAGAGCTAAACACTTTAGAGTCCCCCAGCATCCCTGCTATCACATTCTTTAAAATAAACTCAAGTGGGAAACTGAACTTTTTAAAAAATAATTGTTACCAAGTTGTTCTTTTCCTGTAAATTGACTGAAGGATTGCAGAACACTGACCAAAGCTGTAGATATTTTTGTGCTAATAAATACAATACCTATAACCAATAGTCCAAGAGTCCCACTTACATCTATGGCCACGAATATAGGCAAGGTGTTTATTCCAGCAGGTATAATGTTTTAGAAAAGGTAAAAAAAAAAGGAGAAAGAGGAACAATGATACGGTGATAAGAAATAGATGAAGGACCTGGAGACAATGTAAAGGCCAGAATTGCTATTCTTCACACTAAAAGATAGTTATGAGCAACAGAACATCTATCTACTCTGCTAATTTTCCTTGGAAATTTGAGGAAAATTTTTGAAATCTTGAATAAAGTATATTTCCCTAGAGAGAGTTTATATCTGCCTTCTCCAGAAACTCAGCGGAACTACAAACCTAGGGCACTTTAAACCAAATTAACGGTCTGAGGTTATGGACATTTAGGACATTAGGCTAAAACTCCATGCAAATATTAGCTTCTGGTTACCGCTTCTAAGGGAAAGATTCAGCCTCACTGCAGGTCCCATCAGGGCACCTCTGGGGGGTGGAGGTGTCCATGTAGCACAGACATGGGCCTTTGGGATCCCAGATTAAGGTGTGGAGAGTCTCCTATTAGATGGGCCAACTTGGTCAGTATTGGCCTTGACTTTCTACCTCCCGAGTTCTGTGCAGCCTTGAGAACTAAAACTCAGGTACGCACATGTCCTCACAGCAAAAGTGGCTTCACTGGCTTCAGTCCTTTGCTTATCACAGATAAGTTCTGGTTTTCTACTTTCTACTATATTTTGGCCTAATAATTTTATGATTTATAAATAATTTATTACAAATGTATATGCATATGTGCACAAAGTTACAGAGACACAGATTGTGCCATAAGGTATAGAAGACATTTCTATGAGTCATGTTCACTGTACCAATGCAACAGTGTTGTCTTGGAGGACAGTGAAGTGGTTCCCTATTTGGTAGGAGCATTCTAGTAGAAGTTTGATAATTATTATACATATCATAAAAGCTATTCAGGTGATGCAAGAATCAGAGACCTGATCAGTCTATTCCAGACCCAAGGGACCATGACTGTAGAAAATACAAGGGAACACTTATAATGGAGAAGCCACTACACCAGCTTTCCCTGCATAGAGCAATGTGTGGTAAGGAGGCATTATAATGACAGAAAAGAAACACTGAGAATTTCATTCAACTGATGGTGACTTCAAACCAGCTGATTCCATAAGAGCAGCTATTTCCAAATTGTTGCCATGGCTTAGCCTAACACAGAAACTACACAGACAAATTCTTGCTGACTCCTAACTCACTCTCCTCTATTCTTATTATCACTGGTTTCAGTAAATCATGCATTGCAAAACAAAGGTTAATAAACTTGACTGCATACCGTCATGATAAAATGATCAAGTTGTTTAGACCAATTTCCTTTGATTTCATTCTTGAAGGACACAGTCCATATCTTATTCATCTTTATGTCCCCACTGCCATGCAAAATGACTGGCACATAGTAGGTCCTCAGTATATGTTTGCTCAGTGGAGCATGTTGTTCCTCAATTATAATCCTCTGATTCTTTTTCATCATTCTTCAGGTCAAGTGAATAAAACCTACCTTTCGACACTGTTCTTCTTTGAGGGTTGCAGGAGACTGTTTTTATACTTACAGATGAATCTATTCCAATCAGAATAACCAAGAACCAAGCAGAAGGACTACTGAGCTATACAGCTGGACAGTTTATACTTAGCATTACTGTGTGTATGTGTGTGTGTGTGTGTGTGTGTGTGTGTTGAGGATTGCATTTCAGTATTTTCAAATCTGACTGACATGCAAATGTTATAAACAAGATCATGTTGACTTGATTCCACACACTATAAATTTATAAGAAAAATTAGTAAGAATGGGTGGCTCTAAACTTCAATTCAGAAATATCACTTTGTTTCGGGGAGCTCATCGAGGAAGACCCAATTTTTAAAATAACCAAAATAATAAGAGTCTTACCTCAGGATGAGGAGTCGGTGGCAAAACCGAAGTCTCATTTTCAGTAACATTTCCAGTTGGCCCATTGTTCGGAGAACTGGGACCAGACCCCGGAGATCCGCTACTGACAGAGGATTCTGAAAAACATTGTGAAGTACAAATATATTCATGAAACGCATAAAAATAGAACTCTAGTTATTCTTTAAGGAGTATATAGCATTGAACACTGTTTTCACCTCCCAACTGAATGACAAGTTCCATTTCCGATAATAAAAAGAATGGTGAAGAATTTTGGGAATATTCCACCTAAGCTTGTAGCCTTATTCCCTTTCTCCCTCCCTTGTCAAAATCATTCAACATCGCCACTATCAACTTTACGCAGAGTACCCTCCTGAACGTTATATTTCTTGCCATCGCCTCTCATAGATTCCAGCCTGAATCCCTTTGGGATGCTGGACATTCTTAACCTCTCTTTACATGTGAAGTAAATTCCATGTATTCCAATATTACAAGTACTCTGCTTTCTGTTTATCACTAACATTAGAGTCACTCCCACTTCCCTCTGTACCCCAAAACCAGTCAGTTACTAGGCCAGTTCATTTTGTTCTTTACATCATCTCTCATCTATCTCTGACCACAATCATTTCGGTTTAAGCCCTCGACACTCCTTTTTCTCTCAGGGACTCTAGCAAAAGTCTCCTAATATTTCTGAGTTGCTACAGTGGTCTCTCAAAATTTTCCTCTACCAGGCATCTCCAGTTTATTGGCATCTCTGGGCCACACTGGAAGATGAAGAGCTATCTTGGACCACCTGTTAAATACACAGACACTAACAAAAACTGATGAGCAAAGATGCTGTGTTGGGCCACATTCAGAGCCCATGGGGCATGGGCTGGACACCCCTGCCACTGTTACCAGTAAGACAGATCTCAGTGGGACGGGTTTCACCACGTTCCTACCCATTGATGAATGCCTGAAACTATAAAAGAGTTTTGAAGTTTATTTGGAATCTAAAAAAATGTGACCCTGGGAGACTCAGATTCAGAGGAAGACCCCAACTGCACCCCAAGGAAGAAGACAGCCAGAGCTTCCAAAGACACAAACCACAAGCCAGAACCAGAGGAACTGGTCCTATTGGCTCCTTCCCAGGGCTGGTTTGAAATGGTTTGGTCAATGGCTGATGAAACTCTAAAGTCAGAGGGAGGGGGGCAAGTTCCAGAATGTACTTCTACAGCAACAGGAAAGTCTAAAAGTCCAAACCTCATCTGGGTGCAGACGTGCAGAAGTCCAATTCTCTAATGACCTTCAAGCTTCGTTTTAGGGCCCTCTGACAGTAGTGCTGCATTTTAAATAGTTCAGTTCACATTCCTCATTTCCTAAAGGAGGCTACAGTGATTTCCTGTTATCGCCCTTCTTGTACTCTGCGCTCAAATCCAGATCACCTACTCCATGTTAGGGGACACTTTCCCCCCTCATGATTTCTTATTCACCTTCTTCTCCACCTCTTTCATGGCAGGTCCAACCCCATCTCTAAGATCAAAGCCTGGCTCCTCACCACCCATCCCCCAAGGGAAAGAAGTTCCCAATGTGCAGGCAATATTTGCTCACCCTCCCTTGGAAAACCTCTGAATTTCAACTTTATGTTACAAAGATTGCTCCACCCAGAGGTTCCCTGCCAATGGAAAGAACGTGAGATGGATGACAAAACTCTGATCTTGCCTCTCCTTACTGTGGGTTTCATCAACTCTTGGGTATCATGACATTTTAAACACATCTTGCTCACCTTCTGTCTATATATCTTGCAAACATTTTGATTAACCTGCTTTTTTACCTTTGCCTCTTTTGTAGTTACTTTCTTTAAAAGAAAATGCACATTAAAAAAATTCTCCTAGGACCTTCTATTCCCCCCAGACTCCTAACTCTCATTTTTCCTGTATGACTAAGTGCTGATTTTTCATTGATGTCTCATTCCAATATCCTGTCTTTAAAAATGGCAACAAAAAAAACTATTGTCTTAAACATTGTCTTGTCATTTTAAAATTACATTATCTGTATTATCAAATGTGAGAGTCAGAAGGATTTCCTTAGGTAGAAATCACTGCAATAAGCCTTAGAATTCAAGGCAGCAAATACTGGGACACTTCCTACAACTTCCCACTGGGAAGGGTCTGCGAGGAGAGGTAGCAATTGATTTTCTGGGAACACTGAGAAAAATCTCAGAAAAGAAGAGACTGTAACTGGGGCTTTACTAAAAGTTCAGGAAATGGGGACGATGGAGAAGTGGAGGTTGGAGGAGGGGGCACCCTGGGCACAAGGAGTTGTCGAGGCTTAGAACTAAAAAATAACAAGGTCTTGGTGGGGAGAAGGGCCGAAAACTTGAATTTGAAAAAGAGGAAGATGGCAAGTGGTTCCCATGCCAGCTACCAGGAGCCAAGACATGGTTCCAGTGTGAAACAGCTGACTGTGGGCCTATGAACTGGAGAAGAGAAGAGAGACACAGAGATGAGAGCAGAAATGCAGTAGTAATTCAAGTGCTGTGATGCTACCATGTCTTTTGACTGGACTGCAAAAATATTTAGCATTAAGACCCCAACAGAGCTCACCCAAATGACACAAGAGCTAGCAGAGAAAGGACAAGAAGGACAGGTGAAGGAAGCTCTGTGTCCTGTGGTTCAGAGTCTCCAAACATATTTCGAATAAGTATAACAATCCAGTTAAAAATATCTGCCACAGCCTCACACGGCCCCGCTCACTGACCAGAAGTGTGTGTCCAATAAATGACAGGTGTCTCTTTGAACATACACTTATTTTCTCAGAAAAGAGGGTCATTACCTTACAAAATTAGGAAGAGAGAAACATGACATTTCAAAAGTAAAGAAACTTGAGTAAACTCTAGCAAATTGTAACCCTCTTAAGTGGGAATCAAGCATAACTCAGATAGGTATTAAGTTAAATTCCACTGTAATTTGTTAAGAAAGAAAATATGACTGTGGAGAAAAGTTATGATCAAGAAAAGAGATTAATTGGAAAATAGAAAAGGACATTGGGATAAATATAACCTTAGATGATAAGATTCTAAAGCAAAAAAAAAGCGATATACACAGATTTCTATTTACTTCAAGTTTTTCTATTATGAAAGAGCTTACTCTCTCCAATTAGAAAAATTACCTATATCTATTTATAGTAGATGACTGACATGCTCATTATTCTTTGTATTCATTAAAACAGATTCACTCCCCAACTCTCCACCCCCACCAAGGACCTCTATTATGAAAAAACTTTATTAACTCTTAATTTAGAATTCATTTGGCCTAAATTAGTGATTGTACTTGATATTATAAAGTAAATGTAAACTCTAGTACAATAATTTTTACTTATTTAATATTTTTATTCCTCAAGGAAAAATTTTCTCACTAACACTTTTCTTCGGATAAACATACTAATCTGTCAGGATTGATTGGGAGACTAAACTTTTCCCACCCTATATAATCTGTCAAACTAATATTTTCCATTAGTATTCTGTACTTCCACAATATATTAACCCCTAAACTAGACACCATCATTGCCAAAAGAGATATAGAAAACAAATATTTTTTTAATGTGCTAAGGATGAGATCTGGTCTTGGAGAAATAATATATCAACTGCCTACATTGCTATGAACACATTTTTCCTTGAGAATAGAAAAAAAAAATGGTTGTAGATTACCACTTTATTGATGCAAGCAAAGGAAATGACCAGTCACAAGTGTGTTACTCGAAGTAGGTACTCAATAAACAGTGGTCGGTATTATTGTTTTGGCTAGCCTTTTTGGGTCTTGTATCCCTAGGTCTTCTCTAATTTCAGACCAGGTACAACTGGGACTAGGGGGCTTTGTAAGACATCAGGTTGAATTTCCTAACCTGTTCACCCCACTACTAACTGGGCAGCTAAAAAAATAAGAACTCTTCCATTTGAGGCTAGTGAATATGACAGATTCTTTCCCTTCATAAAAGGCAATGTATCCCCCTCCTGCCGTAAGTCCCAGTTCACTAGTAAACACATAAAGTCATTTATGAGTTCTGTAAATTTGTTGAAAAGTCAAGGTTTGCTGCTCCATGCAGTTTAATTTTCCCAGATGTATTTTGTACCTGCGTGTCTGAGTGTGGGGGGAAGTGCTCCTCCCAGACCTCCCTCTGCTCATTTCTCATCACATTTCATTAAAAGTTCTATTCTCCTGGTTGGCATTCCCCAAACGGCCCGCCTGTTTCTGGAAAGATTAAGGTGAGCTTTGGCTTCCCTAGTCATGCCTAGACTGACACATATTTCTGTTTTTCCTTCATTTCCTGTTTAACACAGTTGGTGAATGCATGGCAAGGTTTACGGAACTACTCGTGAGTTTTCAATATAATCTTCTTTCAAGAAAGGTTCCTCCTCAAAATAACTTTTAATATGCAACAGGCATATGTATTCTAAACTAATTTTTTTCATTCCTACTACCAGCATTTTTTCATGTGTATCTGCCCAGTCCTCAATTACCTGTCACCTCAAACACTCGCTTCTTGAATGAAGTGACAACATTTCCATCCTTCCGCCTGAGTAAGGGGCTGCTTCTCCTCTCTGCCACTTTCTGTTTTAACCTGGACCGCACCTTCAAGTTGGGCTCAGAGGCTGGGGATTGAGACAAAGAAAATAGATAAAAATTAAAAATAGAGAGCCAGTTGCTCCTTTGTATAAAAAGTGGCTCACCCTTTACTTGGTCCCTTATCTCAAATGAAAACCCCAAGCATGTAAATAAGGCATCGACCGTGAATTAAACACACAAATATATTCCTTATTGTTATCAAATGTGTGAAATACTTTTATGCTTCTCTAAATGCTCAGTGACAAAAGGAGTTAAAAGATAGGTTTTCTACTTATTTTATCTAACGACATTGGATTGTTAGTGGGGTATTTAATCATTATGTGCTTGGGTCAGGGTAAGATTTATTATGCCCTCATCGTCAGTCCGCTTAATTTTCTCAAGGGTGAAACTCAATAGCCACAAAAGCAGTACCCTGATGTGATCTTAGAGACTCTGGCCTGACTTCTGGTAATAAGAAGACACCTTGGTAGCACGTAATTTATGTCCAATTCTGACTTCTGGAATGTTTCTTTGTCCAAAGTTTCTAACCAGAAATCCTGGGAAAATATACTCACCATAATAACACCAAACCAAGTAGAATCACTTTGGATAAAACTTTCTGTACACTGAGTATACAAGGAGCTACAAAGGAAGGGTGGCCAAGTCTTAGAGTAGAACAGTTAGGAGTTAGGTTATATGTTCCCAAATACAAATGCACCACACACACACACACACACACACACACACACACACACACAGCTAGCTAGCTATTTATTTGATTAAACTATTCTAAATAATGATGCTTTATAATCAGTCATTATTTATTAGGACTCTAAGTAATTATATTTAGAAGAATGGAAATATTGGATTAAGTTTCTGTGTAGTAGAAATCAGTGACCATGATGATGATAAAGATGATGATGGGAAGGATGTTTCTGAGGAGAGGAACATTTATATCATGATTCCTATTTTCTACTACTATTCTAAATACTTTGTCAGTATTAACTTGTTTAACCATAACAACTCCATATGGCATAGACTCCACTCATACCTTGATTATAATATATCAATGAAACACCAAAACACAGAGCGAGGGTAAGTAACTTGCCCAAGGTCACATAGGTAAAATGGGATGAAGCTGGGATCTGGAATAGGGTAGTCCACACCTATACTTATGTCTGAACACCATAAAAATCATAAAAATCCCCCCCCAGGAGTATTGCTAATCTTCTGTGTCAGATACAATGTTATAATTTAGGTAGAACTTTTGATTGGGGAAAATGCTTTCTTTGAAGGAATTTTATACTTTGTCAGACTACAGAAAGCATCACAAGTGGGACTTGAAGTTTTATTTATCTCTTTATTTACTTTGCTTTTAGACTTCAAACACCTCCCCTTCAGTTTCTGCCCCTGTTCTCGCCATCCTGCCTCTCCGCAGCCTCTCCTTGTACCGAGAATGCTTGCATTCTGGCTTTCATGGACTGGCTGGGTGAAACACAAACTTGAAGGGAATATTCAGTTTCAAAAAATTAAACAGGCTAATTTTTAATGTTCCAAGACTTATTTTATGTCTGAAAATATTTTAAAAAGTCAAAAGATGGGGTCTTGAAAATACAGTAGAAGTAGAAAATGGGGGAAGGACAGAAATTAGGATGCAGAACAGAAAGCTCAGGGACTGTGCCCCTGAGACGTGTCACTTACTGGGCTCCCACTTTGAAGCAAAAAAGGTAAACAGTTTGGGGGAAGGGCTAAAAGGAGTCCGACCCACTTTTTATTAGTGGAGAAGTTTGAATCAGAATTACTAGCATCCAATTCACTTAGGATTAAAGACAAGAAAAGGAAATGTATTAATTTAGATTTTTCCCTCTATATACATTTATCTTAAAATTCCCTGAATCACACCAATTTTGTCTCTGAAAAGCAATAATTGATAAATATATTTATCTAAAACCTAGAAAGAGAAGAATGAGGAATCCCTAACTATGTTAGCTCCTGCTATTGCCTTGTTTATAATCCTAGGACAAAGATCAGGCTTTCAGAGTTGGATTTGGGCATGACTTCATGATGAACCCCAATGGATTAAATGTTAGGGTTCATCATATAGACTGCCATAGATTGCCTGTCCAAAAGGAGTAAATCAATTGATTAATCTCTGCAAAGGGTGGCACAGAAAAGGCACTGTGCTTTCAGTGGGAACATGTGGAACTGAGTCCACACGACATCATTTCCCAGACATGGGGTTTTCTGTGAGATGCTAGTGCTTTCTGAGCCTGACCCTGCACTTGGAAAACATGAACACCTAACACCTTCTTTATGTCACAGGGCTCTAACCACCTGACTAGATACCTGAGAGTAACTGTGAAGATCTGGGTGAATGAAAAGGGAAAGGAAAGGTTTGTAGAATTTTTACTATTGCTCCTACTGCCCAGGAACAAAAGCCAGGACTGGGCTCCAACCCCCCAGTTCTCATTCCAGGCTTCCTCCCTCACCTAACCCAGTACAGAGGCTGGAGCAGTTTCCAAAATCAAGACAAAACTGTGCCAATAGCTTGGAAAAACAGCCTATGCCCCTGAAACATTCTACACAAAACCAAGGCTTCCACAAGCTTTTCAGGTTGGCAGACAGCATTCATTCCTACATTTGTCTGTTTAAGAATGGGCTGGACAGACAGACAGCTGTTAAAGTTCTTTCCATGGATCAACATAAAAGAAGTGAACACCAGATTAGGAATGAGAACTGGGTTCTCCTCTTGCATCTGTCAACCACTAAAATCAATAACCTTCAGTAATTCATAGTCTCAAGTGAGAAAGCCAGTTTATTCACACAAATTAGCTTGAGGGACACCTTTGCAGTACACATCAATAGATGTGCATTTAAATGTCTGCCCCATGCATTAGCTACTTGACCTTGGACAACTTACTTTGTATCTGCAAACCACAGTTTCCCATGTTAAAATTGGTTATAATTTTTCCCTACTTCTCCCAACAGGTTCTATTTTCTGTCAGTCTCTGAGCCCATGGAGGGAGAATTCTAGGAGTACAGTTCTATCACTCTCCTCCTGGTGGGATTTCATTTGGGCTCAAGCTGCTGCTAAGACTGCCTAGTGATCCAAGGATTAAGGAGGAGGGCGGGGTCCGGGCATCCTCTGAGCTCTCTGCTTCAGTGTCGCACCACTGACTACAGCTTTGTCTTCCTCCTTCACCCTCCAGAGGCCCTCTGGTCCATGGCTCAAGCACTCCAGGAACAAAATCCCTCTCCTTACTTCTTCAGCCCTGGAGAAGGGAATGGCTTCCTGCTGTTGCTATTTTCTGGGCCCCTCAACATCCTAAGCATCACAGAAGTCTATGACCCATACTATGTAGGTTCTGTTTCCTGCCAGGACTCTGATGAACACAGTCCCTACATATTTTGCAAAGTTATGATAGAATCTAATGATTCTAGTAGAAGATAAACTAGTGGTTCTCAACCTGGGAGAACAAATAACATGGAGGGACATTTGGCAATGTCTGGAGCTTTTTGTTATTTTTTTTTGGTTTGGTCTGGAGATATTTTCGATTGTCATACGTGGGGTTGCTCCTGGAATCTAGTGGACAGAGGGCCAGGAATCTTTCTAAACATCCTATAATGCCCAGGAGAGCCCTCACAACAAGGGACTCTATGGACCCAAATGCCCTTATTTTTAAGTATGAGAAACCATGGAGCAAGCCATCACTGAATGGCAGTTGTTAAGAACTGTCCCACACTGGGACGATCAAAGGAGGTGATGTCTGCCAGAAATTCTCAGAGGATGCAGAACAGAATAAGGACAGAAGGTGAAGATTATTGGAAATCAGGGAGTGATACAAGTAGCTTGAAAATATGGGATATCTCCATATATTTCACCCTCAGAAATTTATTTTAAAACATTTATAATACCACTGTTATTTCTAAAGAAAACAAAGTTAGCCAGCTTCTACTGGTTATAGAGACACACAGAAAGATGTACTTTCTCAGTGTGGAAGGATAATATGTGAAGCATTGTGATATTTTTTTCTATATCAATTGCGGACATAGCTTCTTAATGTGAGGAATTACTGTTAGTGTATAAAGTGCAGCGTAAATTGATTTCCTTAAAATATGCTATATATATAACTTTTCTAATTAAAGATCCATAGCCATTTGTTTTAGCAAAAACTTTTGCCTACATTTCAATACTGGTTTTGAGTCACAGGAGACATTAGAATATCAGTGGTGAGGGTGAAGGTTAGAATGATAGATGACCATCAGTTGGTCCTTGCAACACTTTCTACACTCACTGCTAACATTGCAGAAGCCCACACACCAAAGCTCAGTGTGATACATACCCAAGCAGCCAAATTAATGAGTGGTTGTGCTGACTCAGTTTGCAGTTAAAGTTAATTCCATCTTTTTTTAATGTTCTGGCCTCTCTACAGTCTGAAGATTTCCATTCCCGTGACGTACTAATGGAATGCAAATCCTCCAGGGCCCAGAAAGAGACCACTACGCTGCTTTTGTTTGAACACACATTTCATGCCCAGTTGCACTAATTGCATTTCTATTTTTACCCCATGCCCATCACTTTCTGTATCTCAATTAATCACAGAAACAGAAACTAGCTTTTCAGTGTGTGTGCCCATCTAAAAGCACTTGCATGCTGAGATGGAAACCTTGCATGAAAAATTAATTGTCATTATTTAAATAAAATAATCAATACTAATATAGAGGACAGAACTAAAAACTTTTTTCTCCTTTTACATAACAGAAAAAGTGAAGGAAAAAAACAGAAAACATGTGAAGAAGCCTCAAAAGCTCAATTTATTCCAAATTTTTCTTCCAGTACTGATCAGGCACCATGGCACAGAATTAATTAACTTAGACGTGCTAGGGTATGAGAATAACAGTAGCAAGTAAATAGTAAAGTATATAGCCAATTCCAAGGCACAGTAAGTGACAAGGCCCAGTCATTTCATGGACATTGGTACATGTGAGTGTATTTTCACACATGTGCACACACATACAGACATGGAAACTATCTTCTGTAGAAGCA